AACCCCGGAAGAAGATAGCAGTGACGGCGATGTTTCAGAGATAGCTGCGGTGCCTCATGGACTTCAGCTGCCAGATGAGCCTTTGGCACAGGCGGTTCAGCTGTATTTTGCCGGAGGTGAGAACTTGTTCGGGAGAGAATCGGGATCTGGCGATGAAGCTTCAGCAGCAGACCCTATTGCAACTCCCACCGGGGCCAATGTGTTGGCATTGGGGGTAGGGGCAACCTATAGCGCTGAAGAGGAGTCTTTGCTCGTGGGCTACATTGATGATGTACTTCGCGTCCCCCTTCCGGGTCGGTCGCGGGAAGCCGTACAGACAGTCGTAGATGGTCTGGCGGGCGGGGATTGGCGGGAGTTTCATGACGCCTTGCGCTCCCACGGAGCGCCGAGTGATTTTACGTCTGCAGAGGAGTTCACGTACACATGCACAGAAGGGAGTGAAAGTGATTTTACTTCTGCAGAGGAGTCCATGTACACATGCACAGAAGGGAGTGAGAGTGATTTAAATTGGGGATCCCCAAATATTGATGTCCAAGAAGGTGTTGTTGTGGGTTTGTTGACTGGCTTCTTAGGAGGGTTGATTGTTGGAGGATTGTTTGCCGGGGCTGTAGTGCTAGTATGGATTTCGCAACACAGGGCGGTCGGGGTTGGACAATGTGCTGGAACAAACGCTTCGACGAGTGAGCACGCCTATGCTTTCTTTTGTTGTCCTATGCTGGCTTGGGGCTTGGCGGCTCTTTACCGCGCATGGGTATGCTTCAACTCCATTGTATGGGGAGGTTCCCTGTCGATCACCGACCTCTGCCGATTTGTACTTTCAGAGCGGCCCTGTACCTTTCAGTTGCACCTTCCAAGAGCTTCGCGTTCCGTCTCAGATGCCAGTACATCGTGGCCCACCATGTTCCTGATCGCCTTGATCCTGATCTTTGGTCTCGCAAATCCTGCTGAGGCACACTCGGTGCAGTCAGGCGATGACCGTTCGCTTGTTCTCTTCCGTGAAGACCAGCGTCAAGTTGCCTCATGCCCAAGAGCCTTCAACTCGGACTCGGAAAGTACGGGATTGTACAGCTTAGGTTTGGGGCTCTGTGTGTGTGTCATCGGGGTTTGGGAGATCCTGAAGTGGGCCTTCTGCCGAATCTTGCCTAAGAAGGGCAAATTCAGAACAGCTGCGAGTCAGACCGAAGACCAAGCCTTCGTGCCTATGCCGCTACCAACGGGCGTCCCAGGTAGGGCTAGGATTTTGTTTAGCTTATGGAGGGCGGGCTTCGCTGTAGATACAGACTGCTATCCGGAGGAGGTGCAAGATGACTTCCAAAGGTGTGTTGGAGCATACCGTATACCTGTTGAGAAGTGCTAAAGATGAAGGGTCATCCGACGAATCCGGATAAAGCAGACAGAGTTTGTAAGCATAGTGCTTGCGGACTCACCGCCAGCTAGGATCTAAGAGGGGATTGAGAGCTGTTGATCTGGAGGATCAGGCTTTTATAGCTATCGGGCTTGTCTTGGTAGTCAGTTCTCAAACTCCTCTGATGCTCTTGAGGCTGGCCGGATGCCAGAGCGACCCTAGGATTCAACGTTCCTGAAGGGAACAGTTCCTCATTGTACAGCGCAGGCTGAGGAATGCTGGGAATCGGGTCGGGCTTTTGTCCAAACATTTCGCTAATCACTCACGTGGCACTGTGGCCAAACCACCGAGTGCCTCTAAGGGAGTTCGGCAGAATCTTTTCCAAGACTCTCTGTCGCCAGTGGTTTGGAACTGCTGGCGAGGGGGAGTGCGTGAGCTCCCTGGCAAGGTACGCATCTGCAGGCTGTTTTTGTTCGAGAAAGGCATGGATCCGGCCTCTTGGGTAGGGTTATAGGGGGTTTGGTAGGAACTCCGCTAGCCAGTTAACTCAATTGGGGGTGGTCCGAAAAGCAAAACCGTTGGGTCTTTTCCTACTTTACGTATTTAGGGCTTGGCAACCAACATCTCCTTTTAGGGTTTAGGGTTTGGCAACCAACATCTCCTTTTCGGGTTTAGGGCTTGGCAACCAACATCTCCTTTTAAGGTTTAGGGTTTGGCAACCAACATCTCCTTTTAGGGTTTAGGGTTTGGCAGCCAACATCTCCTTTTGGGGTTTAGGGTTTGACAACCAACATCTCCTTTTCGGGTTTAGGGTTTGGCAACCAACATCTCCTTTTAGGGTTTAGGGTTGTCCCACCAACATTTCCTGTTAGGTTTAGGGTTTGGCGACCAACATCTCCTTTAGGGTTGAGGGCCTTTTAGGGTTTAGGGTTTGGCAACCAACATCTCCTTTTAGAGTTTAGGGTTTGGCAACCAACATCTCCTTTTAGGGCTTAGGGTTTGGCAACCAACATCTCCTTTTATAGGGTGAAGGATTTGGCAACCAACATCTCCTTTTAGGGTTTAGGGCCTTTTAGGGCTTAGGGTCTGGCAACCAACATCTCCTTTTAGGGTTTAGGGGTTTGGCAACCAACATCTCCTTTTAGGGTTTAGGGTTTGGCAACCAACATCTCCTTTTAGGGTTTAGGGTTTGGCAACCAACATTTCCTTTTAGGGTTCAGGGTTTGGCAACCAACATCTCCTTTTAGGGTTTAGGGTTCGGCAACCAACATTTCCTTTTAGGGTTTAGGGTTTGGCAACCAACATCTCCTTTTAGGGTTTCGGGTTTTCCCAATCCTACATTTCCGTTTAGGGTTTAGGGTTCTCCGAAACCAACATCTCCTTTTAGGGTTGAAGCTGGGTCTGACCCAACATCTCCTTACGTATAATGATTCAGAAGACACCCAAAGTAAGGAGAACAAGGTCAAGCCAGGAAGCCAAAAACAATCCGCATGACAACAGTGCCGGAGTGAAACCCCCACTTTAACATCCATTCCGTATGCCATATGCACATTTTATAGACAGTCTAAGAAGGTAGTAAGGCGACGCAGGGTAGTTGACTAATTGAAGCGAGAAACCTCATGTTACGGCGTGTCTGTCGGAAGCGTATCGACTGAGACTGCGTGTTGGCTTTGGTTGTACCCGGTCAGAACACATCATCTTGGACCACCGCGCGCGCCGCAGTCCGCTCTCGCGCCCCTCCGGCTCTCGCGCCCCGCTCTGTCCTCCCAGTACTACTTGTACCACAAGTCAACTCAAATCCCTCAGCGTCCCGCGCCGCCGTACGCGCCGTCGCACGTGCCGCAGTTCGCTCTGGCGCCCCTCCGGCTCTGTCTCCCAGTACTACATTGGTACTACAATTCAACGAAAATCCCTCAGCGTCTCGCGCCGCCGCACACGCCGTCGCACGTGCCGCAGTTCGCTCTCGCCCCGCTCGATCCGGCTCTGTCCTCCCAGTACTACATTGGTACTACAATGCAACGAAAATCCCTCAGTGCCCCCGCGCCGCCGTACGCGCCGTCGCACGCGCTGCCCCTCCGGCTCTGTCCTCCCAGTACTATATAATTCAACGAAAATCTCTCAGCGTCCCGCGCCGTACGCGCCATCGCACGTGCCGCAGTTCGCGCTCGCGCCCCTCCGGCTCTGTCCGCCCAGTACTACATTTGTACTACAAAATGCAACGAAAATCCCTCAGCGCCCTGCGCCGCCGTACACGACGTCGCACGTGCCGCAGTCCGCTCTCGCGCCCCTCCGGCTCTATCCTCCCAGTACTACATTTGTACTACAATTCAACGAAACCCCGCGCCGCCGCACGCGCCGTCGCACGGGCCGCAGTCCGCTCTCGCGCCCTTCCGACTCTGTCCTCCCAGTACTACATTTGTACTACAATTCGACGAAAATCCGTACGCGCCGTCGCACGTGCCGCAGTCCGCTCTCGCGCCCCTCCGCCTGTGTCCTCCCAATACTACATTTGCAATATACAATTCGACGAAAACCCCTCAGCGTCCCGCGCCGCCGCACGCGCCGTCACACGTGCCGCAGTCTGCTCTCGCGCCCCTCCGGCTCTGTCCTCCCAGTACTACAATTCAACGAACATCCCCGTTTCGTTTTCATCCTGCCCTTCTGATCCCCACGCCATCCCCCTTTCGTTTTCATCCCCGTTTGTGTTTTCACTCGTTTCGTTTTTATCCGGCCCTTCTGATCCCCACGCCATCCCCCTTTCGTTTCCATCCCCGTAGCGTTTTCACCCCGCAGCTCTGATCACCCGTTTCGATCTCATCCCCGCTGCGTTCATCCCCACTTCGTTTTCATCTCCGTTTCGCTTTCACCCCGCGCCGCCATTCCCCGGTATCGCTCTCTCGCGTTTTGAACCTAAACGAGAACCCAACATCCGAGATGTTTTTGGGAAAAAAGGACACGGATAACGTGGAAAATGGACAGAAAGATGCCATTCCTTGAGACTTGACGCAAAAACAGCCAAGAAAAAGACACAGATAACGCAAAAAAAAAGACACAAATAACGCGAAAAAAAAGACACAGATCACCCCCTTTCCCTTTTATAGGGCTGGCGAACAAGCTGGCAAAACCCGTTGAGTTTGAAGGGAAAAATCGTGCGGGCGCTGAAGCATGGGGTGCTGCAGATTCTGGTGCTCACCGCTCGCTAGTCCAAAATGTGCGAAATGAACGGGACGAGAAGAAACTTGGTCGTTTGGTCAATCACGTGTGTCCGAAAGTCCCAATCACAAGAACGAAGGCGCGTTTGGTCTTTTGAGCTCGCGAAATGTGAAGCTGTCATCGTTTTTGGAAGTTGGGGCTTGCGAAAAGCGGAACTGTCATCACTTTTTGATTCGAAATGCGAAGAAGCTGTCTGGCGGCAAAGGCCAGCCATGCGACCGAGCTTGTCACAATGCGGATAGCTTCCAAACATGTCAGCAAAGAACCGAACCCGTAAGGGGGTGAGTTGAGGGGTGTCTATCCATGGCTACTCCCCGGCAGCTTCGAAGGTTTGGGGTCACTCCAAGCCAGCATCATTGGGCTGACGTTTCTCATACAGGACGAGAGCTGATGCTCACCTCCCAACACGTGCCCCCGTGGTCGCCTCACTCGGCCAAGGCGCTTCTTTCTCTATCTTCCGCAGCTGCAGCTCTGCACTATGCAGCATGAGCCAGAAATCGGAACAATCCTGCCAAGCTCCAGCACTCCAGCACTGCCATCAACGGAACCGCCCATGGCTGCTATATGCTGCCATGGTCCTCGAGCAGCATACAGAGCCCATCGAGGTGCATGAGAGCGAGCTCGAGACACTTCCTCAAGAACAGGCTTCCAGAACCTTCCAATTTTTCGAAACGCCTTGCTCAAATCATTCCACTGCAAACTGAGTAGCTCTGAGATTTTCTGGTGCTCTGTCGGATCTGGTGCAAGCTTCGGAGAAGTTTCCAGGTTTCCACTTTCATCTTGCAGCAGCGAGCGCAATCAAGCTCAAACTAATTAGGCAGATTCAACTTATTTCAACTTCTTCACAAGATGCAAAACACACATGAAAGAGGCCGTGATGTGGGCTCGTGTGCCTTCGCAGGGCACAGGAAGATGGAGAATCACCACTTGATCCAATGTCACTTGTGTACCTTGGGTTGCGGGCACACACTGCTCAGAGAGCCAACTGCCGGCACCTGGAGGAACCTTCTTTTTCCAAGCTGCACTGCCCCATGTATCGCACCTATGTGGCTCGAGATGCTGCGAATTGCAAGCAGTAAACAGGTCACCGGTAAATGCAAGCTGCACCTGATTCAGCAGCTCAATGTAGCTGGTGCGAACTGTCTGAGCATCCTTTCGCGTTGTTGCCATGCTCGTGTGCACCTGCATGTGAACACACAATTCCATGATGGGCGTCGAACAACACGGTGTCTCATGGTGTCCCAAGATCAAGCTAATCCGGACATCATCCAAGAGTCCTCGGAGATTGGGCTGATGACATCTTTTTCATCCCCGTGACCTTTCCTGGCAAATTTGGGGGAGAATTTTAAAAGCCTGGCGATGCTTGCGATTCAGCCCTACAGACTTGACATGTCGAACGCGCTGCTCGCAAAGTCTTGCGAAATGATTCGGCGCAATGCTTCCTGTGCAGACAAGTGTCGCTGCCCACAACAGAGTGGGAAGCAACTCCTCACATGCAGAAGAAGAACAGACAAAGTCAGAACTTGTCAGACGCACGATGACACACGCATCACAAGCCGAGCCGTGCCGAGTCGCAAGACTATTGCAGGCCGTGGCAGAAAGTTTCCAAGTCACCATCTGAGCAGACGTGATCAGCTCATGGGCCTCAAAGCTGGGTTCGAGCATCGTGAAAACTTTGACTCAAACAGACCTCAGCAGACTAAACCATCCTATACTTGCTCTACTTAAGGCGACTGTCGAATCACAAGCTCGCCCACAGCGATTACAAGTCCGTGTAGTCAGACGCGGCGATCCTGGTTCTGCGTCATCTTGAGTGCATCAAGTAAACTTGGATCCACCTGGCAGAGAGGAACCGCGAGGCATCACAAATACCTTATCGCGACTTATGCCCTGGGCTGCAACACCTCAGATTGGTCTGCTCGAGTGGCCTGATTCATGCACTCACAAACTATGTTCATGGGTGCGATGAAGGAGTCGCTGAAGGCTTTCAAGTCCTGGAAGGGCAACAACTGCACGGAACAACTACGATAGTGCGACAGACAGCCAGCCTTCAGGTAATTCTTGGATTGGTACTCACCAACTGAGATTCCTTGATAGGCACCCTTAGTTGCAAAAGCTCAAGTTCTGCAGATGGGAAGTTGTCAACACCTGGCAAGCCTCTGAAACAAATGCCCGGCAGCCGAGTCGGATGAGACCACAGATTGGTTAGCAGCAAGGCCTGATCGCGACCTCAAAGCAAAATCTCGGAGCACATCTCAGGGCACATGTTCAACACATGCTCAGGCAACGCTCAGAAGTGCAGATCCAGGAGCAGGCCAGTGCTGCTCACCCCAATAGAGCGTGCCCCATTGATTTGTGAGCACCAGTCCCTCGGGAGCGGATATCAATTTGATAGTCGACTCATAGCATTACAATATGTTACAATCAGAACATGGGTTGACAATCCCACGAAGGTGAAACGATGTGAATGTGGGAAAGTGAGCACAATCTGCCTGTCTTGGCCACTGGGACTGCCCGACTTCCTTGGTATGCGGCTTCTGATGCGGACCCGAACAGCAAAGCGATTGCAACACCAACAGCAACGTTCCTTCATCACCCCCCAGCCTTGAGGTTGTAAACGGGCGGGGGGGGGTCCAAATTGCAATTTACAATACCCGATGCCTCAGGGTTGTGGTCTGGCATCCAACAAAGAGTTTTTTCAATATCGTACAATATCCAATTTCCAGCGATATTGCAAATCACAAAGGGGGGAAGACTACCGGGGAAGGAGCCCCCCCCCCCGGCCCCAGCAAGTTGACTGGAACAATTTTGGAAAGGGGAGGGTTGGAAAAACACAATTCGCCGCCTAAAACATTCATCTTTGACGTCCACGGGGCATGTGAGAGCCGTATCCGACATGCAAGAGGCATGTGAAAGCTGTAAGCAGCCCAGGGCCATGGGCTACCCCTACATGGCCTGAGCCAAAAACACGACGAGCGCAACACAGATCGTAAGTCGAAGCTCTCTGCAACAAGCTCTGCAACAAAGCTCTCCTCAAGATATTTTAGAAAGAGAAACCGAGGGCTCATCATAAGGCTCAAGCCACAGCAAGCTACCTGCGTCTGTGTTGTGGTTGCCATACAGACCTCATGAAAAGGCATGGGCGAATCTGCTGTCCGTTTGCACTGAAGCTTGCACTGCCAAATCTTCGGCGAAAGGCCATACCATCCTGACACCTTCAAGCGAAAAATACCTCGGCTGAAACGAGGCTAACGTGTTCTGGGTGTCCTTCATGATTCCTCATGATTCATTTCCTTCATGATTCCTGATGATTCATGGTCAACGAGTAGGACAAATCAGCACCAGGTCGCTGAAGTAGGCTGTGTAGGTCACGTAGGCCAACGGGACGAGGCAAAACGCCTGAGCGGGTTTCTGACGGCTCTCCTCTCTGATGCTTCGCATCGGCTGCAGCTTGCCTGTGTGATCCAGGGCCCGTAGTCTCTCCTAAAGAGGAGGGAAAGCCTGGCAAATCTGGCTGACATGAGGGGGTCTGTTCCCCACAAACCTTTCGCTGGCCCACGATAAGCAAATGCCAGGTTCACATGGACAAGTGCCAGCCATCAGCGAACAACGTCATCTGACCCAGCACAACCTTGACAGTTGGACGGTTATCTTGCTGCACCTTCCTTGCGTCAAGGGATCAGCAGACGGGCTACGACGGCGCTGAGAAGACACGAAGCCTCGATGGAAGGCTGATGTTGAGCTCATGACAAGGAAAGCTTCGATAATGATTGAGGACTGGACCCAGCCAAGACCAAGCAGAGCGCGTCCCTGAGGCAATGTTGTCAAAGAGCATTGTCATGCAGGGGGATCAAGTGTGTGTTGCCAAGTGGTGTAAAGTCTGCCTTACATGCAAGCAAAGGTGCTCGCAAGTGGCAAAGCCAGAAAGTCAGCAAGCTGCGCCGCAGCCTCGCAAGTGCCTGTCAGCGCAACGCAAAAAAAAGAAAAAGGTAATTGAGCCAAGTGCTCTCACAGTGATACAGAGGTCACTGAGCAAGGGGCTGAACGAGTTCTGGGGCAAAAAGCCGGAGCCAAATGCCGCCTCGTAGGAATGCTTTGAGGCATCTTACTGCATCTTTTCAAGCGCTCCTGAATGCTGTTGTGCTTCATGCGGCGCTACATGTGCTACATGTGCTACTTGTGCTACTTGTGCTACTTGTGCTGCTTGTGCTACTTGGGCTACTTGTGCTACTTACTTGTGATACTTGCGTTTCGCAGAGTAACTCTTCCGAAGAGCTCTCGGCACAGAGGTCTGCACATACCCAGCAAGCGAGCTGCTGCCGTGTGGTCCCCCTGTTGCAGGTCCTGCAGACATTCCTGCGACCTTCACATTACTTTATATTGCTTTCACATTTCACACTATGCTAGCATCAGCTAACGCAATTTGTCAGTCCTCGAAGAAAATGCACCGTTCAACGTGGCTGTCAAAACAGCGCGATGCCCGGCGAGCCTGCTCTGCTTTATCCGCTTTCTTAGAAAGGAGAAAGACAGACAACATGCTCGTCAGACGAGTGATAAAGAGTGACAGATGGAGAGGTGCCTCCAAAGCCGCTGCTTTGAGCAGGCGATGCAAGTGTGCGAAGCGAGCAAGAGATGGCCTCAAAAGCAACAACATTCCATGTTGCTGTGAGACGTGCAGCTGTCATATGCAAACATTGAGATGAGGCGGTATCGGTGGGTGTAGTGGCACATTGCCAGTGGTGCGCTCGAGTTCTCCATGACCTGCTGTGCTGCGGCTGCACACCCTCCCAAAGCCTCGGTAAAGCCTCAGCCCGTCAATTCCGGGATACCTCCTCCCACAGCCTCTGTAATTCACGGGGTTATTGGCTGGAAACCCCCTAAGGGTTTAGGGTTTTAGGGTTTAGGGTGTAGTGTTTCGGGTTCACGCTTGGGGTTGAAAGATGTTGAAAGCTTAGGCCTCTGCAAAGCCTTAGCCCGTCAATGACGGATAAAGCTTTAGCCAAGCAATTGCGGTACACTTGTAAAGCCTTAGCCAAGAAAATCCGGGATACCTCCGAAGGCCTCTGTAAAGCATTAGCCCTCCCAAAACCTTTGTAACGCCTTAGCACAGGATGCCTCCCAAAGCCTCTGTAAAGCCATTACCCGTCAATTACGGGATACCTCCCCGTCAATTGCGGGATACCTCCCAAAGCCTCTGTAAAGCGGGACATAGGCTCCAAACCAAAGCCAATATACAGCCTTGCAAAAAACCGTATTCACGGGTAATATAGGCCCCCGTCCCGTACTTTCGGCTGAAAAGACCCCGTCCCGTAACTCGCGGCCCGCCCCCCTTCGGGGGCGGGCCCTCTCTCTTTTTCAAGAGATTGGACGGGTACGCAGTCTACGGCTCAACCTACAACTGCAACTGCAACTGCAACTGCAACTACAACTACCACTACAGCTACAACTACAACTACAACTACAACTACACATCTACAACTACACATGCTACTACTACTACTACTACTACTACTACTACTACTACTACTACTACTACTACTACTACTACTACTACTACTACTACTACTACTACTACTACTACTACTACTACTACTACTACTACTACTACTATTGAACGCTGAGCGAGCGGGCTCTGCTCATAGCGGGCGATTCTGAAACTTCGGGAGGCGCCATGCCCTTGGCTTGCCCCGCCCGTGAGACGTGCCGTGCCGTGGCCAGCTCCGCCCTTCGGACGTGCCTTGACCATTAGCTAAAAGCCCATTGAAACGTGCCGTTTCCAGCTCCGTCCCTTGGACCCGCCTAGCCAAGGACTAACAAGCCAAACAAGACCAAACCGAAAACTACCAACACACGAGCGACAAGACCCAACACGTACTTAGGCGTTGGAGCGGGCGCGGGGGGACTGCACTGCGATAATCGCAGCTACCTACCTCATCCCTTTGAAGAGCAATGGACGAACCTAAAGCTCCTAGGCCCAGGCTGCTACCTCTGCCACGAACGTACGATAACAAGAAAACAAGGCAAGCGCATCCTTGGAATCAGACTTGCCGATGCCTCAGAGAAGGGAAAGGAAATGCCTACAAGGAATAGAGTTTAAAATGAGGCCTGCTGGAGCTGGCTGTACAAAGCTGTAGAAACATTAGGCTCGCAAATCGGCTTCAAATGATAACTGAAACTGCCTAAGGCCCAGCTCAGACTCACTCGCTTTTTGACTGTCTCCGTCACCCTAAATGTGAGTCATCGCGTCCGATACTCACGCACTGGTGCCGGTGGGCCGTACCCGGATGGGCCGACACCCTGAGTTCCCGTCTAGTGGCGCCCCACACTAGGTAACTCACGACAACCAGCGGAGGGCCGTAAGACGTTCAGCCAGTAAAGGCCGTGAAGGATTGTGTCCTTGGATGCTCACAACTGTGTTGCGGCAGCGGCATATCGCTCATCAGAAAGTCTGTGCCCAGCCGTGTCGTGGAGCCGTACCATAGTGCAGAAACTGCTAGAGGGCGAACCTGCTCCTCGCCCCAAGAGCGAGTCCCGGCTCTCGCACCCCGCTGCAAGACAAGGCGTTGGTGACATGTTGGGGCCAGCATCACCCTCAAGCAGCCCTGCGCATGTAGCTGGTCGTACTTCAGAACTGTGGTTGCAGTGTCCCAACCTGCACCTTGTCCTGTAGACAAGACCGGCCCGGCGCCCCGTCTGGGGCCACAAGGGCACCCCATGTGCATCGAAAGACATCAGGGTGCTCAGCGGGGTCAGCATTGGGAGGATTACGTCGTGCTGAAGGCCGTTGGATAGCTTTGTGTTTGGCAGCTGTGTTGTAAGTCCGTGCAACCTTATCGGAGACTTCTCATCCTCACCAACGTTTGACGTTTTCCCCGGAGCAAGCAGCATGTCAGCTGCGCTGCAATCCCTTTCAACAGTATCCAAAGCAATACGTGACTGGGCTGTAGCTCGAACTGGGGGGGGGAGGGGGGGGGAGGGGGCGTGTCGTGGCCAGTCACGTACTTGTCTGCGAAGCGGCTTTTGAGCATGAGTGTCTCGGAGAAGAAGCTGCCACTTCGCATAAACTGCACAGAAAAGGATTGCAGTGATCTCTGAGTGCATCATCCCGGGGAAGCTGCTCGAAGCACAAAAACAGGCCTCAGCACTGATACTTCTTGCATAGCAACCAGGCTCTGAAGTCGACCAATGTTGCGCTGCTCCAAGGATGTCTGTGTGCTGCAGAACCTTTTGTAAATGGAAAAGTGTAGGCAGGAGAAATGTACTGAGGCGCGTTCGGCTCGCCATCCGCTTGCTTTTCCCCTCCAGAAACATAGATGATGAAGTCACTAAAGAGGGTACTCCTTCCACCTCGCGGAGCAGTGGAAACCCTACCGCTTACCTCTGCAAACTCGTTGTTGTCGGTGTGCGTGAGGCCCGGGAATTGGGACCCGGCGGTTCACAGCAGAAGAATCGACTCGTAGCTCCAATGGCAAAATGGCTCAGGCAAAGGCAGAATCCTTAAGCTTCTGCGAAGGCAGGGCCTGTTGCTGAGCTCTAGTGCGTTCGGCCTGGAGGCTGGTTGACTTCCCAACTGCTGTGAACCGTGCGGCTACTGCTACTACTACTACTACTACTACTACTACTACTACTACTACTACTACTACTACTACTACTACTACTACTACTACTACATACTACTACTACCATACTACTACTACCATACTACTACTGCTACCATACTACTACTACCATACTACTACTACCATACTACTACTACCATACTACTAATACTACTACTACTACTACTACTACTACCACCACTACTACTACTACTACTACTACTACTACTACTACTACTACTTCTACTATACTACTACTACTACTACTACTACTACTACTACTACTACTACTACTACTACTACTACTACTACTACTACTACTACTACTACTACTACTACTACTACTACTACTACTACTACTACTACTACTACTACTACTGCTACCACCACCACCACTACCACTACCACAACCACAAATGCCACTACCACTACTACTACCACTACCACTACTACTACCACTACCACTACCACTACCACTACCAACTACCACTACCACTACCACCACTACCACCACTACCACCACTACCACCACCACCACCAGTACTACCACTACCACTCGCCCACTCCCATTCCCATTCCCACTCCCACTCCCACTACCACCACTACCACTACCACTACCACGACCACGACCACGACCACTTCCACTACCACTACCACTACCACACAATCCCGTATCTGACGCTATGTTTTTCTCTCCTATTGCACCTGTTTCTGTTCATCTCCGGAGCCGAAAACACCGCCATTTACAGTGTTTCCAGCGCGTGACTGCTTTGCCTCTGCCCGCTATTGGATCCTTTACAATTTGGCGGCGCCTCCGCGCCCTTTTTCTTTGCCCGTTGCGATGCCACCCTGCATTTCTAGAGGTTCCTACTTTTTGCCAAAGTAACGAAGATTGCTGGGTTCGGGGCTGCTTTTTTGGTTTCGGCTTAAGGGTTGAGGGCTTTGGTCTTCATACTGCCCTGGTTTTTCGGGCTTTTAGGCATGTGGTGAATCCCTAAACCCGATTCTCGACAGAATTTTCGCTAAGGGCGGGCCGAAGTGACGGGGTCGGATACTCGAGAGGCTCGATTTCCGGCCAAACCGGATTCCGGCCCGTCGAAAAACCCCCCCCCCCCCCCTGCCTGTCTTTTCGTCCCGGGCCAAACTCCTCGCCCGGGTCTCTTCGGAGTGACGGCCCCGGATGCCCCCAGACGCCGCTTTCCGGAAAAAAACCCTTGGGCGACTTCGAAAACCCCCCCAAAAAGCCTGTCTTTTCGCCTCGGCGACCCCCGGGGAGGAGCCCCCATCCCGGCTCCGGGGACCTTCCCAGGGTCGATTTTCAAGGGAATTTTCGCTAAGGGCGGGCCGAAGTGACGGGGTCGGATACTCGAGAGTTCTGGGCTAGGTACTATTTTTGTCGGCTTAAGGCTTGAGGGCTTTGGTCTTGAAACTGCTCTGGGTTTTCGGGCCTGATTGAGGGTTTAGGATTTAGGCTGTAGGTCAAACCTTAAACCTAAAGTCCTAAACCCTCAACCCTTCAGCAGAGTTTAGGGCGGGCACGGTACAGGTGTTGAGGGTTTAGGGTTTAGGCTGTAAGTCCACACACCCTAAATCCTAAACCCTAAACCCTTGCGGAATGTTAAGGGTGGGCACGGCATAGGTGTTCAGGGTTGAGGGTTTTGGGTGTGGGTCAAGCCCTACACCCTAAGTAAAAACCCTAACCCCTAGGATTGAGGCTGCAGGAACCCACCCCCGCATTCCCCCCCCCACCCGCCCCCACACCGACCAAAAAAGGACAAACCCTGCCTCTCTCATGCTCCTCCCGCCTCATTTTCTCCAAGATGACGAACCCCCCCCCTCAGAATACTCTGGAGAACGTCCCCACCCCGCCAGCGGCGCTCTCTGTCCGGGAAAACAGAAGCTGCAGGCGATCAACATTCGGAGTCAAACCTCAATGCCAGGAACTTTTGACGTGTCCAAGCCTGCAGATGCATGGTGTCGTTCTTCGGCCTTCTCAGTTCGAGTCCCAAAAAGCGGCGAAGGAATACGGGAACCACTCAGCTCTCTGTGCAGCATCTCACAGCGGTCTGCCACTTGGCACAGCTTGGCAAAGGCCAGACGTTGCATATGCAGACCAGGAGAATCTTCTTCTAGCTCCACATGGGCAGCAAGTTCGGAACGGGCTTGTGCAACTGTATCTTGCAACTCGAAAAGTCGGCTGAGCCGTATCTCGTCCTTCACAACTGCACTAACATAAAGCTCCTGCAATAGCGCGGAGGGATCTGCCAAACTCCAGAAGTGGCGCGGCACCGCCACCAATCCAAAGCCCATCAGAACGGTCAGCACAAATAGGCCCCATGCGTTTGATGCCGCAATGCACCAACTCTGAACATCGCCCTGCACTTCGCCGCGGATGATGAGAAATACGAGAAGACAGCTCAATATCACGGCGTACGAGACATAGAATACTGCATTGCGGCGTATTGATGTTCGCAAGCGTGCTGCCACAGTGAAGTCTCCAGATGCTTCGAACTCCATCAGGATGGGGCACAACAGATAGCTTAGCAGGGCAGTTGTCCAGTAGGTAGCAGCCTTGGCACACCACAGAACACGCGTGCGCACTCGCTCGAGAGACGAAGAGAAAAAAAGAGAAAGAGAGAGAGAGAGAGAAAGGGAAAGAGAGAGAGAGAGAGAGAGAGAGAGCGAGAGAGAGACGGACAGAGACCTCATTCAGCAGAGTCGGAGAAATTGAGTGCCATACCCATGTGGATTGCAAAAACGAATCTGGAAAACCTGCGCCACCCGCCAAGGCCTGGCATCAAGTTTGGCAAACTTAGCTAGTTCATTTACGGCGACATCACAACATCCTTTCATGAAGTCATGGCTGCGTGGCTCTTAAGTTTCGCCCTCGCGCTGGCACCACAGTCAAACCCTCTCGCAGCTTGACAAACACAAACACAAACGCAAACAAAAAACACAAACACAAAAACAAACAAAACACAAACATACAAACACAAACACACACACACACACCACACACTCTCACACACTCACACACTCACACACTCACAAACAGACACACGAAGACACGAAGACACAAACACACAAACACACAAACACACCAACACAACAACACACAAACAAACGAACACAAACACTCAAACACACAAACACCAAGACACGCAAACACACCAACACACACACACACACACAAACACACGAACACACAAACACAAAGACACACAAACACACCAACACACACACACACACACACAAACACGCACACAGACACACAAACACACAAACACACGAACACACGAAGACACGCCCACCCACCCACCCACCCACCCACCCACCCACCCACCCAACCCACCCACCCACCCACACACACACACACACACACACACACACACACACACAACACACACACACACACACACACACACACACACACACACAACACACACACCACACACACACACACACACACCCACACACACACCCACACACCACACCCACACCCACCACACCCACACCCACACCCACACACACACACGAACACGCACACGCACACGCACACGCACACGCACACGCACGCACACGCACGCACACGCACGCCCACGCCCACGCCCACTCCCCGCTCACGCCGCGCCCGCGCCCGTGCCCGCGCCCGCGCCCGCGCCGCGCGCCCACGCCCGCGCCCACGCACGCGCCCACGCACGCACCCACGCACGCGCCCGCCCGCCGCCCGCGCACACAACAACACACACACACACACACACACACACACACACACACACACACACACACACACACACACACACACACACACACCGGAACAAGCAAAAGGGTAAGCTTCTTGCGAACTACCAACATTTCCAACTGTTCCAATACTGGAGGACGTTAGCGGACATGCTTGTTCAAGCAATACACAGTGAAGACGATTTCGAGAGGTGCAACCACCAAAACAATGGAAAACACACGATCTAAAATAGGTTGCCAAAATCCAGGAAGCATGTCTGCAATTTCGGCTGCAGATTACTTGGGAAGCATTTCTGCAACTTCACTTGCAGAGAAGTTGGGAAGCATTTCTGCAGAGCAGACTCGGTATTACTAGTAGCAAAGAGCACAGGCATGGGGTTACATCCAAACAGTCAAAAAACAGTCAAAGGCACGTCAAAGAAACAGTGGAGACAACGGGAGACAAAGGGAGACGAAGGGAGACAAAGGGAGACGAGGAGCACAGCAACCCGGCAAAGCCACACACATGAAGGGAGACAAAGAGACAAAGGGAGACAAAGGGAGACAAAGGGAGACAAAGGGAGACAAAGGGAGACAAAGGGAGACAAAGGGAGACAAAGGGAGACAAAGGGAGACAAAGGGAGACAAAGGGAGACAAAGGGAGACAAGGGGCCCAGGAACCCGGCAACAGTCCTCAGAATGTCGGCAATCCTTAAATGAATTTCGAACCCCAACAGTTAGACTGTTTGGGGAAAACACACACACACATGCCACACCTGCCACACATCGTAGGGCATGACTGCCACCACGCTGATGGCGATTGTTACTCCGGCCTGGTGCCCGGTCTCTTGCTGCTGCTGTAAGACTGTGCATCTGGCTGCATTGAGTTGCGGGCCACGCTGGTCAGGAGGGAGAGCCTGCCAAGATTTCAGCTCACAGGACACCTGAGGCCACCTGGACAAAACTTCGATCCAAGCCGGGCGGACCCGCTGGCATCCTGGAATTGCCAAACTTGTCAATATGTTTGCAGTCTCTCTTGCACACCTTCCCTCAGCCTTCCTCGTCTAGGTCCTTATCGGCAAAGCGGAACAAGACACACGCCACGATCAAGGAGACGATGACCTGGCATTAAAGGCATTAACTCCGCCGAAGCCTTGAAGAAAATGCAAAGCATTCAGCCAGGCGAACTGGAGCACATGAGAGCACCAGCACGCTCCAAGTGCCATGCATTGCTCTTCAAGACACGTACTAGATGCTGCATGCCGAATGATTCCTTGAACACTGGAGGAACCCATCTTGTCTGCTGAATGTGAGGCGCTGAGCCAGGGTTGGACACTGGTCAGCGCTCCACTGAGCTGTGCTAAGACCATCGTCACAATGCAAGAAGTGCTATGCGTGGCGTCCGACTTTTTCTGCCTGCGCTGACTTAGCCAGAGTCAAGCTTTTAGAGGGCTTCTTTGAAGCACAGTGAAGAGAGAACAAACATGTATGCTGATCGTACGGTGCACGTGTATGCCAGATACAACTTGAATGATCCAACCTCGGTGGTGAAACATCGATCTGGGCTCAGTTGGAGGTTATGAACTTATCTTTCCACATTCGCGGCCTTAAAGTCAACAAAGTCAAAGGCAGCAGCAATGTGGCCACCTGACCTCTGCCTCTCTGTATCCAAGCTGAGCTCAGTCTGAGCAGCCGGCAGACTGTACGAATATCTCATCTTGCGAATGACCTGCGGGGAAAATGTGGCAATCCTACACATCCTACATCGGCCGAGGTCCGTGGGCATAAGGAGTATTTTGGTTCCCACAATATCGGGTGCCCCCGATACCAGGCCCATCCCGGACCAACACCACCAAGCCCTGGGGTGGGTGTTTGGGGGACCTGGGCGCTTCACGGGCCCTCTCTGCCTCTCCCGGCATTGTGTGGGGCCCGCGCAAGACCTGCCAACCCGCAAAAAGGCTCCAAGCAAAGCTGCGGGCCTGAGTCACTCCGAGGAGTCTGCGGATTTGTTTTTTGCGATCTGCCTATGGTTGTCACTGCTTGCCGTAGTGTGCGTTGCAAAGGGGCCCGAATATCTGGAACCGAATATGTGGAACCTGGGTTTAACGAAACGTTCTTGGAACTCTTTGATGAAAGATTTCACTTCTGGCACACCATTGTGAACTTATTTGTACCAGATAATATTGGTTTTGAAATAGTCATCAGTATGGCTATATTGATGTGTTATTACATTTTGATGCTAATCTCTTTGTTTGTAAATTATTCAGGAAGTGCTGCATGTACAGTAATGATTTTGTTGCGCGCTTTCAGTGTTGAGGCATCAGTAGTAAACAAGCAACAAACAAAAAAGAAACACAATTTAAAAACAAAAACAGACATAGTTTTTTCTTATGGGTGGCTGTCCAAATGATGATCCCTTTTGGGGTACTCTAATAAATATTAGGTGCCGTATTCTTATGGGGATCCAAAAAGGGACCATATTCTTGACAAGCACCCAAATATCTTTCATATAGTCAAAATCCAGCGAAACAGAGTAACTTTCCATTGAACCCGTACAATGTTTATATCAATGATGTGATTTTAAAACCGATGTAAACAATCTTCATTCAATTTGCCATTTTTTTTTGATTGGACGTTCCCAATCTTCATGCATATTCTCTCATTTTAATCATACAGCTGCAGCATATCCATCGTGTAATACTGGTTCAATACTTGGATGTTTTATCAGCTATGTACCAATTGACGCTTTATTTATATTTACAAATGCTACAAATGTATCTCTTATTCAGTTGATGCTGTTTTACAATTACGATCTTTTGGCCAATATTCAAACAAATTCCACTGTTTTTCAAAACCCATTGAAATATCAGTTTGTATTGCTAATCACTGATACATCAAAAAGACTTGATCATGACAGATCATTCAAAAAGTCGTACCAAAATAACATACCTTCAGGCTTCGGGATGCGGCCGATTCTTGCTCGTAAAATGCCAGCCACGCTGCTGGAATTTGGGATGGCAGCTTGCCACCATCGTGAACAGCTCGCTTCCTGCCGGGCAACTCCTGTTGGTCTTGCGAATCATCTCAAAGCACATATTTCTCCGAGACACGTCAAGTACTCGTAGACCAGGTCAGTATCCTGAGCAGTTTAAAGACCTCCATCTGAGTCTGAATTGTCCTTTCTTAGGCTCTGCCGGTGCTCCCCAGATGCTTCAAGCTTATGCTTGGCGGCTTGCTCAGATTGCACTCAGCTGTTAAGGTCGCCACGCTGCTCTCTTTTTGCTTGTCTGCCCGCTTCTGATCCCAGCATTCGATGCCCTGAGTAAAACTCTGAACTGTCCCAGCTCTCCACCGCATTCCACTGCGATGCTCTCCAGCCTCGAGGATCCACTTGTGCATGTTGCTGTCCAAACGTTTTTGCAAGGCCTACCCGAGGCAATGGTCTTCATTACTCTTCAGTACTCTTCATGAGTACGATTCGTACGATTCACTCATAGACTGCAAGCACATTGCTGGCAGCTTGTCTGCTGACAAGTGCTCTGCTACTCTTCGGGTCCTGATGCCGTACATTCTTCCAGCGCATGAAGTTAACCTGAGCATCGAAGACTCGACGATTGGAGGCAGTCCTGAAAGCATCTGAAAGCTGAGAAATGCTGAGAACAAACACCAAGCCAACCTATGCCCACTTGAGGTCACTTGGTAAGGTTGACGCAAGTTTGAAAAAAAGGATCGCATCACGACCAGCAGACTCAACATTGAACACAAGGATCAGACGAGAATTGACGCTTCCAGCTTCGCGTTGCAAGCTTGTTGTACCGGTACCTGATATCACCTCACAACGTGCCCCGCTCTACGATGCTCTGGCATCATATGCTTCCTTACGCATCTTCTTGCTTCAGGTACTTCACTCAGCACCACACATTCCACGCGAGTTCGTGCTTCATTTCGCTCTTCATTTCTTCGAGGCATGTGGAGCCGGAGGCGAGACACGGGAGGGTGACCGGTGAGTCGGGAAAACATGTCGAAAACAGGGTCAAGGGTGTCCCTCGAAAACCCTGAAACCCTAGAGCCTAGAACCCTGAACCCTCACTCCGTCCTACAGCGATTTTACCTGAGGGCCGAGCGATGTGAGCCCCTGTTTCAAGAAAAACCTTGCATGACTTAGATGCAGTCTACGTATGCTTTGGGATCTATTCACGGCTCCTCGTGACAAAAATGTCGTGTCTCATTTCTTGTGGACTCCCAGTGGGCTCCAACGTTGACTCCAACGCTGACTCAAACGTTGACTCCACTGGAGTTTGATCTTGTGCATCACGGCTCTGGTTTGTGTACAAAAGTATGGGGGCCCTTTCACTTTGCACCTTGGACCCCAACCAGCTCTCCATTCCTCGTGCTGTCCAATCGATGGGACGACATTGCTACAAACAAGGGCCCTTTCTTCGGACCAAGATTAGTTTGGCAGATGCATGTCTGGTGCTCGTGGAACTCGTCTCAAAAAACATACATGAAGCACGGAAAAAAGGCCCACGGTGCATCCCATAACGCAGACCTTAGAGCCTTAGAGTTTAGTGCTAGCCGGGTTTGATCTGGGGGGCAGGAGCTTTTCTGTTTTCGACTCGGGTGCAGGGCCTTTGCCGACTCAGTGCTCTTTGTGTTCGACTCAGCAGAGACATGACTCGCAGAAACTTTTGGTTCACTTGACCGTCTCTGCACATAACATGCCCCAGTCGCATCTCTGTGTGATACCATGTGATACTCTCTTTGTATCATTGGCATCACTAAATGTATATCAAATCGATTCTTTTATGTTCTTGCAAATTCGCTACTCGGCTAGTCAGCCATTGTGTGATACTCTCTTTGCATCATTGGCATTATTGAAATCGATTCTTAGCCCCCGCTCACGATGCAAGAATATTATATGCAAGATGATGTGAGGAGATGGGGCTGGACAACTGGACGGTCTCAATGCTGCCTCCGCCACACTGCGAGAGCGGTTGCGCAAGAATGAAATGAGTCTCTGGATGCAAGATCTCTCGTACGTCGTCCCAAACTCTTTCCACTGGTGCTTCCATGAGTGCTTCCACTCACGCTTCCACTGGTGCTTCCACTGGTGATTCCACTGGTGCTTCCACTCACTGGTGCTTCCACTGGCTTCCGCTGGTGCTTCCAACTTCCAAACGCCCGTGTCCTGAGGAACTGTTCTGCAACATCCTCGTCGACCTGCCAGAAAACAACATGTTCGTCACACTTGCAGCAGGAACAAGAGAACACGCTTGGAAGCAAATCCTTGCAACAAACTGGTGACCGCTGACAGACAGGCATGCTCGACACGAACGCTCCCTATCGAATGCCAAGCTTGCGAAGTTCGCTTCTCACCGTTGCACAACTCAACAACTGATCTTAGCATGACACAAATCCAATACATGCTCTCACTACAAAGGTCCCTGATACCACAGAAACGGCAAGAAACAACAAATCAGCAAATCGATACAGACACGCATCGAAACATCGTGCTTTGCAAAGATGTTGTTTTAAACGACTGGAGGGTGGCACGTTCCCTCCCGGTTGTCCCCCAGTTCAATAGCCCATGTTGGCCTCCTTCTTCAAGGCATCAGTGAGGTGCGCCACGTGCGCATCCACATGCACAGCAAGCTCCGGCAACCGGTTCTGCAAGAAAGCCTCTCAGGACTCTTGCACGTTCCGCATTTTGCAACAAAGGCCGTGTATCACTTGGCCCAACTAGCACACAATAGACACAATCCCCAACCCAACATCACAGTGGCGCCGTCCTGGACACGCTCCTTGACCGACAACGGCTCGTCACCCTTGCTGTGGTGTACTATCAGGCCTGTCGTGCCATTGAGTATGTACGGCAAATTAGGAAAGATCCACCATCCAACATCAGATCTTTCGCAGCTCAGACCGCTGCTCTCGTCGGATTCCAAAGACTTGGGCCGATGACTTCGACCAGCAATACTGCCTATCATCCAAACGAACAGTAACGAGCAGCTTCCGGCTTGGACCTCCTTAACCTTCCTGCCTCCAACCGTGTGCAAGGCTGTTGCCTGCGAACAACAGGCACGAGCAAACCACCCGGCAGACCCTATCAAAATCCGGCAACCCCATGAAAGCACGCAGCATTTTGGCTGACGAGAGCAAAGCCCGAGAAGCCGTGGAAATCTCACAGGCTGAACAACTTGAAGTCCCGAGTCATGGTCTGAGATGTCTAAGCAGCTCATCTCAGAGAGTGCCCCCCTAGACTTTAATATGCCACTGCTAAGCCTTAGCTAAAATGACTTCCAAAACGCTGTACTCCTTGCAAGTGACCTCACTGCTGCGTGACGAAGCATTATTCAAGATTATTCAATTCACAATGCTTAAAAATGCAAGGCAGGCAGACAGCTGGGAGGTCGGTGCATGACATAGGTACCAATACGAAAGTCGCAAGTTGAGGCTCAGCAAGTAAATCTTACTCCCACGTCCTGAGAAAGTTACGGAACCAGAAGTCGAGTCTTCAGGATAGTGGATGTGTTGTTAGTTGGCCCCGTGTATGCTGCGGATACTTCATGCACCATCGGCTGCCCCTGAGCTCCCATCAAAACCCCTAATTGGCAGGTGACGGCCGTGCACTGTGAACTGGGTGTTGCAAACAAAAGATGAACAGCAAACTCTGGGCTCCCAGCTGTGGTACCCGTGACGCCGGTGTATCCAGTCCTTGGGTGTCGACACGAGCAATCAGGAAGCAACAAAGCCATTGATGCGCAAAACACCAACCGAATGCGCGCGCACACACACACACACTCCCCACACGTGCATGAACAAAACAAAGCCAAGCCACGAAGCCAACAACGAAAGCGCAGCCAAAATGGAGCTCCCTAAAACCCTCTTTGTCAGGGAAAGTGTCTGACCGCTGAGGCCACTTTCGGAGGCTGCACTGCTCGTCCGCATCTTCCGCTTCCTGCGCTGCAGAAAACGGTGTTGCAGAACTGAGACAGCGAAACTAACAGCGAGAGCGAAAAAGGGAGAGTCAGAAGCGACAGAGAGAAGAAAGAAAGAGGGAAGCAAGAAAGAGAGAGTGAGAGAGAAAACGAGAAAGACACAGAAACAAGCTATGTGATTCGACTCCAAGCAGATCTGACTCCAAATAGATCTGCTCGCCAGACCCAAAGGTTCAAATCACTCTCATACCGACGAGTCTGCCCAACTCATTGCCGATCCTCTTCTTCTCAGGAGCCTGCGAGCATTCGGCAATCGATAGCAAGAGATGGCAACCGCATTGACCAAAGGTGAACGCAGGGCAACGAGCCGTAACGAGCCTGCGTCTGCTCTATCGCAATGATCTTTTCGATCCATGCCCGCACATCAGCTCGCGTTCTTGGGCAGCAAATCTGTGCAGGGGAATTGCTCGACGCTGCTTGCTCATGGCGCATGACCACTGTGACTACCGGGCCTCGTTGACTAATCGCGTTCGTTCCTCCTCAAGCTCCAGAGGGTCCCTGCCGTACTCTTCTCTTGCACAAAACACTTCAAAACACTTCAAGTCATTTGAGAGAATCGATCGGCTCACCTGGACTGAGGAGGAATGGACCTCTCATGCAAAATCACAAAGATGAAGTTGAATCGCACAAGATAATTTCAACATAAGGTTCGCACATGTTCTACTGGTGCCCAAGTTGGCTGAAAATTTGGGATAAGGGCTCCCTGCAAGGCCCGGACTCGCTGATCACCACAGCCGCTCCTTCCTTCGAACGTCCAGAGGCCTGCTCGCGCATACCCGGCGCTTAGACGGCTAAGACGCTAAGATTGTCACCGCAGTCGAGCATCGATCACCGTTCACCGCCACATCCGGTCACCGTTTGTCAGCCTTGAGCTGCTTGACGCTTCCACTTGCGTCACTGTGTCGAACTCCACTTGCGTCACTGTGTCGAACCTGCCAACACAAATCCTGATGACTCGCAAGGCAAAGAAACATAGCACGTCATGTTGGCTCCAAGTATCGTACCACGTTGCGTGCACCGTCCTGGGGAGAAGGAACTACCTGATGCTGAGGACTGCTTCCCAGCCGGTTCACTTGCACAGCTGCTGCATACATAAGGCGTACTGGTATCGTGACGTCATGGTACATCATATTTTCATGGCTCATCGTCATCATCATCGTCGCAGTCGGCGTCGTCATCGTCATCGTCATCGGCCTCCTCATCCAAGTCTAAGTCATCTAAATTCTTGTTGATGATGTAGTCCTTCCTCAAACAGGGACGCGTGAAACTGGACTGGCGCATTAAGCTTCTGCTCTCCGAGGATTGTGCAGAAACTGCTGTGTGGCTTGCTCATCTGCTGAGACTTGGGTCCTTTGCGGGGCTCGCAAAGAACTTTGTGCCGGACGGGGTAACACTTCTTAAAAGCTGAGAAAGCAACTTCCGGTTCCGACCTCACCGGCAGGCCCAGAGTTACTGCACTCACCGCTACATTAAGATTTTACTCAGCTCTGCTTGCAAAGCCATGCAAAGCTGGGCCAATGGCTGCTGCGTCGACCGTCGCAAACCATTTGAGGTCAGCTCTCCGCCAAACATGTGCATGTAACTTCTGCAGAACTGAACACACTGGAATGCGCATCAAGTGTAGATCTAAACAGCTGTTACCAGTATGGAACAACAAGCTCGTGTGCAAACCCAGAGAGACCAGATACAGCCAAATGGCTTCAGACACTGCGTCGTCGACTTGGAGAGTTTTGAATGCTCTGACTGAAGCTTTGCCTTTTTGCACTTCGCAAATTCTGCGTCTAGCTGGCACAACTATCGACCTTTGAATGGGTGTCCACACCGGTAATAGACAATCGGTGATATCATATACACGCGGCAATGCAGTCAAACCTGTGGATACACGCCGCAATGCAATCAAACTTGTGGACCTCATCCATCAAACCTTGGGGCTGCATGCTTCGTTGGCACAGCAACCCCGGCCATTTTCAGGCCGCAGGAGCTTTGCAACTGCGAGGTGAAATCGTCAAGATTTGTGAAGATTCGTAAAGCGCGGGAGTGGTGGGGGGCAACTGCTCAACATCGCTACTACGACCCCAAGAAGCTCAACACTGAATCTCACTTCAACTCTCCATGACTAGATGTTTGTTCATGTCATCCTCACGTGCGGCTGGCATCACCTGACTTCGCGTTTTCAACACCTCATCAAGCAACATGACAATATCAACACGACTGTTGCAGGGCTGAAGACAAACCTGGGATCAACACATCCTTCTCTCGGAGCTTGGCTTTGTGAGCCTTTGCCTGTCTTTACATGAATTACCACATTGTGATCAGCTGACGCATCATGATGCAAAGGATACAGCGCACCCTCATTCGGACAATCTTTAGGGAAGTGCAACTCAAGAAGGCGGCAAGAATGCCATGCCTTGTCATTCATCTCTCCTGGATGGAGGCCAAACTCGATATCCTCCTGGCATCTGAAAGTGCTGACAAGCAAGGGGCACAGGTGAAAAGGCATGGAATGAAAGGGCATGGCAAGGTTGGTCCGGATAGTCTACAAAGGCCGGCCCTTCGCGCGAATCCATGACAATGGCCTGGCTGTCCTTCTCAGGATGCTTGCAGCTTCATCGAACTGCCTTAACGCAGAGCGCCATATGCGGATCGCCGCGTGAGACTCCAGCTTAAGCGAGGATGGTCCTGCGCATCTGCCAGGTAATTCTCAGGAGCAGCCTGAGCACGGCCGCAGCTCCTGCCGCAGCGATTGCCAGTTTGTTTCCGCATTGTGTGGAATTGTATTGCTTGGGCTTGCGCAGAGTCGATGCCAGGCCCGGACCAAGATGGTGACCCACAGATCCCAGATCCTTCAACTCGAAACATGACCAACTATCAAAACAATCACATGTGCTTGGAACATGCATCGCAAAGACACGCTGCTAGTGCAAAGGAACGACTGTACAAGGACTGCGTGCACAAGATACATCGTCATTGGCTCCGCCGATCATGACAGACTCATCCGGGAGCCGTCAAAGCAGGACAAGTTGCTGGCGGAACCCCGGCCTGGTGGATGAAAAACTAGCAAGGAGGTGGTACGACTCCGGGGCGCAGAAGTCGCACAAGAAGAGCAAGAATCAGCTGGAGTGCTGAGATTTCATGAACGTAGATTTCCGTGATCTTGTGAATGAGCATTGTCTGTAACCATCCCAACCATGTCATGCCATGTCACGCCACCCGGTCGTAACGAGGAGAGTTCAAGAAGAAAACCGCGTGGCCGGGCGCGTGTTGGGACACCAGTGGCCCCCTATCTCGCAGAACCAGTTCTGTCAAACTTGTTTAGATATGGGGCACAACTTGTCATGACCCTTCAGGCTTTCAAGAGCCTGTGAGCACAGTGAGGATGTTTGGTTGCACAATCCTGACGGATCGGTGCCTGGCTGCCCGAAACTTCGCCGTTCATTCTTGGATGGCCAGAATCACGAAATCAGCAGCACCACCAACGTCTGTCAGGAGCAGAAGGTCCCGGTTGCGTGCAAGGCCTCGCCGGTCCTCCCCAACCCCCCTGAACCCTTTTCGACAGGCCAGGAGCCCAAAAGTCGAGGCGCCGACCGCCAACAGAACCCAAAAGCAATGAAAGCAATGAGCAGACCAATCCATCATGCTTGAGCAGTGCACATTCCTAGATTGTCCTTATCAAGGTCATCTGCAAGTACATCGTTCTGTTTCTCTGAACCAAGTCCTTTGTCCATTTGTTGATCCTGTCTGCTTCCAGCACCTGCAACACAGTTTTTGGATGATGTGCGGTATGTGATATGTCGGTAACACAAATGAGATCCTGAGTATCGTGCCCTTTCGTCTGCAAGCTGCATAGGGATGCGCGATGCTGAGCGGCCTATTCAGAAAGCATCACAGGCTGTCGCCTGTTGCACGTGAGATCTTCCCTCGCTACGAGAAATCAGCCTGCGCAGTCTGCAAGGGGCTCCAGCGGGCCCAGCCTCTGCACATGGCTGTCCACCACATGCCCTCTGAAATCTGAAATTCTGAGGGAAGTGCCCTGCTTCTGCTGGTCCAGCGACTTTGGCAGAACAAAGACTGGCCTGCATGTACTCCGCGTTGAGCAGAGCATGGCGGTATTTTGAAGCGCTGTGCTGTACTCTCAAGGCAAGGGTACTCTCATGGCTTCATTTTTCTCCACAGCAGAGCGAGCGATTCAGAAAGCAGGGGAAGCTTTGCGCCGCGAAGGCCAAGGACTCAAGGTCCAGCTTCACTTTCAAGAACAAGCTTTCCTTAGGTCTCAAGCAGGCAAGCAGCAAACAAAACCAAAATCACGTCTCGCGCAAAGTCCGCAGCCTTCATATAAGATATCTTCGGCAGGCTGTACGAGCATCCCACCTGCGCCCCAAGCACGCAGCGCTCAACATAATGACTGGTGAAAAGCAAATTACGGGCCTGGGTGATGCGTCTTCCTGTCAGCATTCTCCTTCAGAACACCACCGTGCTCAAACTTTTCAAGAAAACTATGTTTGAATACCTCAGTTGTGCCTCCTGCAAACTTGCTCTGGTCCAAGCCAAGTTGCATATGCTGCCTTGTCATCCCAGACAGTCACGCCTGAGACAATGCCACCTACAGATATCAAGAACGTTGATACGATTCACGCTGTATGACTGGCACGATAGCAAGTGCACCATCCCTGAGTCCAAGCATCTCAAGTAGTTGCAGTTATCATCTGGCGCTTGGTCACGTCGAAGGAGTTGAGAGAATCGAAAGCCGGCCGTTTCCTTCAGACTGCACTACGTTTTGCCGATGCCATGCAAACTCGAAAAGCACAAAAGACAATGCCAGCATAGCCCCCGAAAAGTCTCGAGACCCTGCGCAGGTTTCGGCTCTCAAAAAACCTGGAGCCTAACCCAACAGCAAAGACATCCCAACTTAGCGGTATCTCAAGCACCCCCGACGAGACCAGACACCGAAACAAAAACTCTCCTGCAGCTCGTCTTTCTGTTTGCTCCACAACTGTTCGAACTCCGTCTTCGACTGGTCCGCCACGTTGTATCGAGTTGTCGCGACAAAGACCTACACGTGTGAAAAGCAGATGAAGCATGCAAAGCATACAATTGACAAGGTTAAGAGGTGTCCCTGAACGGCCTCAGGTGGGAGCATCTTCTCACCATCAGCCTCCGGTCGCCCACCAGGGCCCGAAACCAAGCGAACTTTGGACTGCAAGGACTTCTGCGGCAGCAATCCTCCAAGTCTCAAAAGTTTTGGAAAGGCCCACTGGCACTGCAGTGCTGCACCCAAGTGCTCCCAATGTACATCCCAATGTACATCACAATGCACAACTGCTGCTTATGCACTGGGACCTTGCCAGAAGGATGGCTTGGGCGGGCCCTTGCTGGTCATGAAGGAACTCATGACCATTCCAACAAAGTCCTGCCCGAAAGATGCGCCTATCCCATTCTACAGAGTCAGACGACGCCAAACACGCTTTCTGCTCTCAGTCCAGAATTCCACCGCCACCATGGGCTTCTTTGAAGGCTGGTCCCTTCCTCCAGAAAGTAAAGTCTTTCTTCGTCTCCCAGATTGTAAAAGAAACATAACCTGTCGCCGGGAATGTGCAGCGCTTCTGCAGCACTTCCTTTTCCTCTTGACGGGCTAACACTGTGACATCTGACATGACACCCAGGGCTGCCAGGAAGCTGTAATCATCCGGAAAGGACTGCTGGTTATTTGGTACCCTCCTCATCAATGAAAACCATCCTCAGGCAAGCTCTCCAGTTAACTAACAATGCAGCAGCCAAAGTCACAGACACTTCATGCTGCCCGCACTCGAAAGCCAGGAAGTGTGAGTAGGGACGACTTTCGTTGCGCCCATCGTTGCCTGACAGTGGAAGCTGCAGCCGCGACAACAGAAGATTGTCAGAAGAATGACAAGCGGATGACAAGTCAAGGCAGCCAAGGCTGTTGCTCAAAAGCTGCCTCGGCCCCCTGACAGTGGAAGCCGCAGCCGCGACAACATAAGCGTGACAAGCGGATGACGAAAATTAAAGACAGCCAAAGCAAGCGCATGCAACTGAAACTCGCCTCACGAACCATAAATCCTGGGCCGCCGCGAGTGCGAGTGCTACAGCAACTACAGCAGCTACAGCAGCTACAGCACGCTTTCCAATTCAATCCTGAGTCCAACTAAGTACGATACTGTTCGAGGCTATGTACCGCTCACCACTCAACATTGCATCCTGACACCAACACAATCCAGAGCTGACATCTCATGTAATGGCTCCACCAATCTTTGCGAAACAATACACGTGTGCTTGGCAGGTGGCGTGCCTTCGTATCCAATTCAGGTTCTGCATCAACATCAACAGCACCCAGGCTGGTAGGCACTTTGTGGGCACGCTGCACCTGTGCAAATACACCAACGTGCACGAACAATAGGCAGATGCGGAACTATTTCCATGCCTCGAAGGTAAAGAGCTTGCCGACACCAACGAAAGCAACAGAGTGTAGCCCCAGGACCAGTGCGATCCTAAGTGCCGATCTCAACATCAGTACGGAGAATACAGTTGCAGTATGTTGCAGTCAAGACAGCGAAGCATGGAGGATAAGCCACTGACAGGCACACACTGGACCTTGAGCTAGGGTTCATCGGTTCATTGCAGGAGTTCTAGCAGCTACTGCCACTATCGGCGCCTTGGCACTGCGGCATAGCCATTCAACCGCGTCAAGCGCGGCATGGCGTAGGTCTCAGCTTTTGTTCGAGTAACCTGAAAAGCATTCCATGTACTCGTCACACGCTATCAAGGCAGTCTTGTGTAGCACTGGCGAAGCACTGGTGCATGGTTTTTGTCCCTGGTGTTGTAAACTTTGTAAGCTTTCTAGACTTTGTTAACTTTGTAGACTTTGTAACCCCTCTAACTCTCAGCTCGCTTGGGCCGAATGCCAGGAACAGGAGCCTGGCCCTTCTTGACGACGACGCGAGCTATGCTCCACAGTGCTCCGCAAGGCTCCGCAAGGCTCCGTAAGGCTCCGCAATGCTCCGCAATGCTCCGCAATGCTCCGCAATGCACTGAGGCTAAGAACACGCAGTCGAGGCCTCTGCACCCATGTCAGCCAGAACTGAAAGTCTGAAGCGCTCTCAAAGCATTCTCCAGTCACAAGCCACTTATGCTGTCACAAGCTAGGCGTTTGCTTCCCCAAATGCCAACCACCCACAGGATAAAGCAAAAGCAAGATGGCAAGAAGCATGCAACACTTGCGACGTACGACCTTGCCGTAATCAGCTTGAGCCCACGCACTGTCGACAATACCCACACTGACCAAGCAAATGCAGCAATGCAAAAAGCTAGCCCACTGAAGAATCACAGCTATAACTCTTTTGCCATTTGTGCCGCGACTCGGCTAAACGACAAGACTTGTGCTGCTTTGCAGGCAGGGATGGCGCAGTGCAGCACTTTCAGCGCATGCAGCTTGCCAAAACGCAGAATCCCAGAGCATCCTGGCCGTCACCATAGGAAACTCCGGCTATGCAAAGGCACAAAGCCACTAAGCCAACTTGCCTCGCGGGCTCACGGGCTAGAGGGCCGAGCCCGGCACGCCTTGAGCGCGCCTGGCAATGCAGCCAAACCTGAGAGATCAAAGCAAAAAATTGAACCAAAAAGCACTCCAACACATTGTGGCACAACACAATGGTGCGCTTGAGTACGCTTGGGTACGCTTGAGTACGCTTGGGTACGCTTGGGTACGCTGGGCTCCCGGCTCCTCGAAACTGATTGTTCCATCGTTCGTGGTGTCCAGAACGGAGTAGAGCTCCATGGATGCCCCAAAGTATCCCAACTGCGAATTTTGAAGGACAAACTGACAGTAACTGACAAGTCTGCCTTTGCGACTCTTGGACTCTACATTGACTCTACATTGACTCTACATGACTCTACGCACGCCTCCTTGAGGCCGTTGCTCCACTCTTCCTTCCGCAAGAAACAGCGTCTAATGCGTCTATCCAGCCACCAGAATGCATGACACGACAGGCGCTGGTCCTCTGACATCTCTCCATCACCACTTTGCTCCAAGACAGCCCACGCCTCCACAACCCCTCACAACGCCACCCAGTCAGTGCAGCGAGCACGGCACGCTTTTGCACCATACTCAGAGCACCTCAGCAATCCCGCCATAGCGCCATATGAAGAAATCATGCAGCTCGCCGGTCTGAACAAATTTCGGCAAGCGCGAAGGCATGTTGATACAAAGATACGCATGTTGACTTGCCAATTCGGTGCCTGTCTGTCCAACTCACGTTTCACTGTGTCCAACTGCAGCCACTCCTGCATGACTTTAAGCTGTCTCTACAGGACGTCAGTTGGGTGGACGGATGGTGGACAAGTGCATACTACAATTTCCCACACTTCTAGCACACAGCATCGCGGTGCCTCAATAGATATGGAGCCCTCCAGTGTGGCATCAAGGTATCGAAAGATTGCACGGAAACCTGCAACGAAAGTAGCATGATCAATGCAACCAGTCGTCTACTCACTACAAGCTGCAGCAGATGACGCCAGGCAACGTTCGCGGCGATTGTTGCCTCGGAATCGCGAATCTTCCAACCTGCATGGTGGGATGTACCATCAGAGATACTTCACAAACAACCAAGCACCAGTGCTGAACCTGTCACAATGCTCTTCGAACTCCTTGAGCGTGATCAAACCTCAGCATCTTTGTATGCTACGACTGCAACACTCGAAGCCAGACAAGCTCTGCACCATTCCCACCATCACCGTCGATGTCTCGAAATGCCTGCCCACCACAGACCGGTTCCCTGGATAAGGCCAGTGTAGCCTATGCCCAGGATGCTTTCGCACTCACCTCGTGTAGATTGTCGCGGTATCGCTCTCGCATGACCTCACTGGATCACACCACTAACCATGCTAAGATTCAGCACAGTCAGCACAGCGCGCCTCCAAAAATCGGATGATGTCAAGGCTGACATCTGATAATGACGACCACCACGACACATCCTGACAGCTCAGCATGAGATTCCTTCTTTATTTTCGGGTGTGATGTGTGCAAGTTGTCAATATCTAGAAGCTTGCGATGGAAAAGTTACGTGCTTTCGGAGTTGACGTGCGACCTGAACAAAGGTCATCAAAAGGTACAGAACACGACAAATAAGACCATATCACATCATGAAGGGAACGACAACAAAAGAAGAAGCAGTAAATGGAGAAAGTGACGAAGTTTACAAAGCCATCCGTCGAAGACATTCATAAACGCTCTCTACAATCCGAACCTCTTGCTTCAATGGAGGCGCGTGCCATCGCCTTGGTGGTGCTCGGAAATCAAAGCAAACGGAACGGGCGAGCGATGGCGAGCGGCCGAGGCTGGAGCCCGTAAGCAGCAAGGAAGTCGCTTCGGGTCTTCATGTTGCGCTTCTGCAGAAGGCAGTGCACATGGACCAAAGATATTCTCACGCATCACGAAGAAGCTGGCGCTGGACCTGAACCTCCCAGAACCTCCCACCTCAGGAGCCACGAAGTACTTTGCCGAGAACGTCCCAGCCTAGCGCAATCCACATGCAAGGGATTGCAGCATGTTGCAGCTTCACCTCTTCATGACTCTCTTCATGGGCACAACGTGGCGGCGACCTACGTGCAACTCTTGCAGCATTACTGAAGGTCTTCCCTTGACAATCCTGTTAAGGAAGCCGCTCTGGGCAGGTCTGAAAATCGTGCCCAGGCTCGGGGAACACCTCGAAAATAACCGCAGCTGTGGACAATGTGCATACCAAACATGGCCGGATTTTTGAAGGACTGAGGATGACTGAGGACTGTGGCCTGTAACCAACTTGTCTTCTGTTCCATCCTCGACTGAGATGTCTTGAGTCTTGACGCTGCTAGACACTTCACGCTACTTCACTCAATTCATACACCTCATATCACTGCATGCCCATGGGTCCTCCCTGATATACCTGGGCTCAAGCAGCAGCGCACCCTCCTTCTGCTGCAGCCTTTGGGACATGGTGCTAGCACTCTTTTAAATATCGTGTAACATTCAAGTATCTCAGGCAAAGTCATTACCAGCAAGTTGACAGCAAGCTTCTCATCATGAACCGAGAAGTCCAAATCAAGCTGGGCCTCGAAACAGCCGGGACGGCTTCCGCACTGCTTGGCAATATATACACCGTTATACACCGTTACACACCCCAACCTGTTCCGGCTGGATGTATGGGAAGAACTTTACGGGCCCGAGTTTTTTCCTCAGCATGTGAAAGCTGTGAAGCCCACAGCTTCGACTCGCACTTGAATTGAAAATCTGAGATGGCTTCAGAAGCTGTGCATACTCATCACCTCGGCTACGTTGGCATCAACGTTGATGATTTCACATCGCACACTGCACTGGCCGTTCTGGTCAATACACCACCTTGCACTGTTGATCGGAGGGCCGTGGCTGGAGAAGCGAGCTCTGCAAACTTTCACGTTCCAAACATCCGTCAGCCTGTCTGCAATTGCTCAAAGTTGCTCACGCACTTGCCGGTTCACATGTCCAGGTGTGTGATTCTGCAGACGGAGGCAGGCAGTGTCAGGTGACAAAGCACGCAGCATCACCCAGCAAGACAGCCAAGACAATACAAGTTAGGGAGAAATCTTGGAGAGAACAAGTTGCTTCCAGCTTCATAGGGCCACACAAAGTGATGCCAAGGCCCGAGGATGTGTGTGACTAGATCATACTAGATCATTCATAAAAACGGTGAAAACTCGCGCCGTGGAGTCCTCGAGAACCATTATCGTAAGGCTGAGTGAACAAACAACAGAGGCTCAGATATGACATGATGAAAACGAAACATGGTGGCGACGATTCTAATGGTCAACCAGTGCTGCGGTCGCAGCTGCTGCCGCCACTGGTGATGGTGATGGTGATGGTGATGGTGATGGTGATGGTGATGGTGATGGTGATGGTGATGGTGATGGTGATGATCATCACATGATGATGATGATGATGATGATGATGATGATGATGCGGCGACCATGATGAAAATGAGCATGAGATCATTGTTTGCTGTCGCGAAATTGATGGACGTTGTGGCCATTGCACAAACACAGTTGATGTTTGGGTACCTAGGCTGCTACAAATGGAGGATGCCCTGAAGTGGTGTGACATATGCAGGTTGAAGCAGGTTTCGTGCATGCGAGCAGCATCGAAGCAGCGTTCAAGCTGCATCAGCGTGTTTCGGCATTGTGTTGGGTCGATTGAGGAGCAAACAATCCTGTGACTCCTGCGCACATCCTTCTGAAGATTCTTGGGGAGGAGCATGTTTGAAAAAAAGGACCGATTGACACCAGGTGCCTCATCTGCACAGGTGCCTCAAGCGTACAAACATCAGCCATGCCACCATGCATTCCGGAGCAGCAGGGCCTGTAGTAGAACACGTGGAAGATATGCATTCGCACCTGAATACTCTGGTGCTGAACTGCTAGACGTGCATATGTTGTCAGTGGCCAAGCGCCTCTGGATCATATATCGCACCCAGCAGCCTCCGGGGCTGGTCTCACTTCTCAGCTCCGTTGCGATTCAAAATGCCCCCCCCCCCACTTGGATTCAACTAAACAACTAAGTCTCGAGCTGGCGGAGCTGTGATGATGCGAGGTATATGTATGGAGAGACAGCTCGGAGCGCTTCAAACCTAGCAGCTGCTAGCCGCATGGCAGTAAGAAACTCTCGAACTTATTTGCTCAGTCCCGTGCTGCTGCCACGCTCGACACTCAGACCGAAGCCTCTGGAAGATGAATTGCTGGAGTCACGCTTCCGCAAAGGGACCTAAGAGAGCCCTGGTAAGTGCGCAGCACATGCTGAAAGAACTCTTCGAAAACTTTGTCGGTCATCTGCATGGTACCTGCAACTCGGCTGCCGACAAATGTGCTACTTTGGCGGTTTCTTGAGATTTCGACAGAGTCTCGAGCCCAGCCTGGAGCCGTTCGCGGGCCGCCGACAAAGTCGAACCTCGGTGGTCACCAAAACTGTACAAGGATGAGAATGCCGCAGACATCGCATACATGACATACCAAACAGCATACCGTACTGCATGCCATACTGCATTGCTTAAGCGTTGAGCTCCAACTTCCCAATCCTTTGCAACGCGGCAACATTTGACTCATGGGAACTGGCACCACATTGCACCTCTGCGATGCATGTTTCGAAACATAGGAATTCCGGCAGAGGAAGTTCCCAATCCAAAATAGACCGGAAGAAAGGCCGTCGGCCCTCGTACCGTTCATTGCGCACCTCGCAAGAAGGGTGTTTATATGCGGGACATGTTGAGACTGCATGAAAATGCCTGAGATTGGTTTCCGCGCTGGGAGATGTCGAAAAAACCGCGGCCTCCAGCCAGCAGCTAGAAACTGGAGAATGAACAGACTCAAATCAAAGCCATCAACAGACTGTTTAAACTGTACATGCACACACGCGATCTGAACTGAGGCGTGCACGAATGGCAACGTTGGCCTCCCACCTATCGAGTGTCCGCAAGCATTCAGCCTCAGGCTGCTCCACTCCAATATCGGACGAAAAAGCACTGATTGAGCGAAGCCCAGAGAGAGCAGAAACCTCCCCTGCGATCATGTCAACATGCTGGTCGACACAAAAACCAGAAGCCGTTCAACAACAATTCTCAGCAGCACTCGTTGAGGACTTTTGGTTCCACCATGCTGCTGCAGTGGAAGTAAGAGTCTTGTGAGATCGTCGTTTCAAATCTGAGGATCTTGAAGCGCATGTGCGGTTTCTGTATGGACTCATAGAGGAGTGCAGGCAAAGTAAACTATACAAGGGAATTGGAGGGTGGGTGAGGAAAGGCTCACAGCAAGGCAGCTTCTTGTGTGTACCTCTTCGTGCCATATTGGCCGCGACGAAGGTCTTGAAACGGCCGTATTGAAGGATATACACACTCAGCACGCCTACATTTTTACTTCGTACAAAGCACACGAAGTACTACGATTAATAACTGAGCCTCCAGCAATGTGGAAATCACAGGTCTCATCCAGGTACAAGGTGTAGTGCATTGACGGATTGCTTGGCGTGAACGACAGCGAGAGCATCCTTGACAGGTTGGCATCAGGCAGCTTCGAGTGCGTTTCACCTTGCTACTTGTGCCAGCGAGGAACGTCCGTTGAAGGATCTGCCTGTACTGCGCCTGATGTACTGAGAAAACTTGAAGCTATTCACGGCTAGTCAGTCAGGTCAGCGCAGTGCAAGATGTGTTCATGGGCATTCTCTGGTTGCTGGCCTGGGTGCTTGCGAGCCGCAGGCACATGTGGCCTGGCATCACATAGCGTCGCACAATGGTCATCTGCAACGCCATGTACTGCAAGCGTGTCAACAGAACGCCCGACACTTCCGCTCGAACAAGCGTGCAGCAACCTCCAATCGAGACGTACGTTGCAAGAAAGCACTGCCAAATGGACTTGGATTCGTCGTGTCCTTGCCTCTGTATGATTGTAGGAATCATCATGGTCTTACCAAGTTTGCCTGGGCAGGCTCTTCATTGCGACCAAAGCAGCACGAATGAATCAAGCCCAGGTCGTCGGCAGAACATCTCCACATGGGCATAGTCAACCACGAAGTTCTGCCACTGCTTCGGCAGGAAGCAAAGGAGCGCGAGATAGCAGAACAGGACACTTGCCAGCAACTACACCAACTCAAGCGAGTGGGGCTAAAGTGGTGCCAAGGCGTGCCAAGTACTTCAATTGTGCGCAAGCACTTTTCCCAGGCCTTAGCCAGTGCGTCGATCAAGGGTAGTTTGTCCTGGCACGGTAAGAGCAGAGTATTGAGCCCATCTGCACTTGTCATCCGCCCGAATGCTCCTGCAAAGTATCGAACACAGGGATGAGCAACCTTGTTGCTGCAAGCGCATGGTGTCCAAACAATCTGGTGTCTCCCAAACCCATGTAGGCTCAGGTGACTGCACTGCCTTGTCAAGACGCAACCGGATTTTGCACAAATCACCTCGCCGCTGAAGCCTCACGAAGGACATGCCGACAGAGTCTTGTATTTCTGCTTCGCGCCCTGCATTGTATCTTCATTCTCGACGGGACTGAGCATAAGTAGCATTACACAAACCAGGAGATTGAAGTGAAACGACACTGCCTCGTCGTTAATTATTGCCTTTCATATTCGGGCTTCACGTGAAGTCATCAATGAGACTAACAACAAGCGATGCAAAGTCATACAAATGTGCGAGTGAACTTTAAACTTTGCAAGTAACACATTAGCTTGCTAAACTGTCTGTGAAAAGCCACATAGCATCAGGGAATCTTATGGCATGTAGGCAGCTGCAACCAAAAAAGTCTCAAAACTCGACGGAGGACCGAAAAGGGAAAACAATGTACTTGAACTTACGCAAGTCTATCGACGAAGAATGCTGCTTTAAAGCTGCAGCAGACGCATCTGCCAGTGAATTTCTATGCTGGGGCTGCACACATTTCGGCAATGCCATCCCTGGACTCCTGGCCGTGACACGTCAGGATCTCTTCAAGTAAACTATGGTCGCAAGTGGAACGTGAGAGTGAGAGTTTCGGGAACAGACTGGAACGGCTGTTCTTGCTGTATGTGCTCTGGATGATCTATCTTGCTTGAAGCGCGCTCCTCGTAGATGTCTGGGCCATTTGCCTTGGTGGTGCTGAAGACGAAAGCCATTCGACCTGCACTGGGCACCTGAAAAGTTCCGTGTTCATCCAGAACAGGCTCCGTTAGTACGCAGCCCTCGCAGGCAAGGTCCGTGAAGGCCTGCTTGATGCCCAAATCAAGTTTCTGGCAGAGCTTCAAGAGAATGCGCAGCACAGCACGACTGTAGGGCTTTGCCATGTTCAGGTCGTACTCCCCTTCAGGATTACAGAACTGGAAGAAATGTTGCCGAAATGCATCGCCCATGTCAAAAGCCTCCATGCAGTGAAGCCTCTCCAGTTTCGAGACAGCAAAAAGCCGAGTGAGAAAATGAGCGCCTGGGGCCCCCAAGGGATTCCGCGAGACGTCCAACTCCGTTAGGCAGGGATGGGCTGACAAAGCATCTGCCAGGATCAGCGCTGCGCTTAAGTCCAGGCGATTCATGGAGAGGTCCAAATATATAAGGCTCCGGGCCTTGCTGAAGAACTCCAACATCACACTTGCACTCGTGTCGCTTGATGAACAGCTGGACATCGAAAGGGAACGTAGTTGCACGTGCGCATGTGCCACGTTTGTACCAATTGAAGCAAAGACCTCATCTCCAAAGCTGTTCCAGCTCAAGTCGAGGGCCGTGAGCGTGTTGCAGTTGAAGAGAGCGTCCAGGCACCTTCTCACGGCTGGATTGCTTCCAAGACCGGTGTCCGCCAACGTCAGGTTCTCCAAGTTCGAATGCTCGCCAAGGGCCCTACACAGCTCAAGCTGCACCTTTACCGGCAGATGAATTCCACTTATGTCCAGAACCTTGAGCATGCTGAGACCCTGTGGGCTTGCAATAAGACTCACTAGCAATTCGACTGACGGATGACCCAGTCGTATGCACTGCCGCAAGCGCAAACACGACAAAGTCGAGCAGGCCGGATTTCTCATCATCTTCTGCAATAGAGGAACAACAGACTTGTCTGTCAGAAGAGTGTTTCCACTCAAGTCCACCTCCAAGACTTGGGGAACTGTCCTAAACATTGCTGCAACAGGTATGAGATCGCAGTCCGCCAGTGCCCAGTTCACAGCATTCAGACGAGTGGACAGACCCGTGGTGAAATCTAGCGGTGATGGTAAGATGCCTCCTCGCTCGCAGGCGGTCATGTACCGCGTCATCGGAGCGCCGTCTTTCTTCTTGTTCTTGTCCTTTGCTTCGGCCTTCCAGCTCTCATTGAAGGTCATTGCCATGACCGGGTTCATAGCAGCGCTGTGGTTGCTGTGGCTGCCACTGAGGCTGCTGCTACTTTCGAGGCTTCCGGGCTGGCAACCTCCGATGCCTCCGTGTCTGCTGTGCAGAGAGGGCGCGGACAAAGACTTCCCAAGTCCCAGCTGCACGTGTTTCTGTACTGATTGACCTTTCGAGCTCTTCAATGCTGGCGGCAACATGGGCTTTGTGAGGCTGCTGGTTCGTCTCACGTCCCATTGGTTGCAAGCGCTCTCTGCCACTTCCTGTCGGAATCGCTCCGCCAGCGTCCAGCGTTGCGGCTTGCGTTCGCGTGCACCTCGGACTATCCAGGACTGCTTGCTGTTCGTTTGAACCTGACCTTTGGTAAGGTCCTGGGCCAAGAGAGGATCGAGCGTCGCCTTCGCCTTGCCAGCTGCAATGTCGGCAACCTGCCAGAACTTGCACTGCGTCTCCAACAGGGCTGCGGAGCTCTTCGTGATGTCTTCCGTCACTTGTCCCACCGGAACCTCACGAGAGGTCTGTGGAGGACGATAGTTTTCGAAGAAGCGCTTTACTTGCTCGCGGCGATGGCTCTTGCTCTGAGCAAGCTCCTCTAGCTCCGCTTCGTTGTCTCGTGCCCTTGGTGCCAGCACCACGCACATCACACAGCGTAAACAGGCCACTCGCTGGCGCGCCTTGATGATTTTCTTTACCACGGCAAGAAACCGAACACGTGCGGAGGAATCACTTCCCTGGAAACACTTCAATGCAATTCCAAGCAAACCATCAAAGAGGCGTTCAACTGACGTTGCAAGGCGTCCTTCCAGGTCAGGCTGCAGGATTGGTATCGGTTGCCACAGGTCCAGGCTGTCCCTTAAAATCCCTCCATCTGTCGAGCGATCACGGTCCATACGCTCTACATCGTTCTACCGTTCATGGTGCATTCAAGCTGTCAAGCCGAAGCTGGAAGCAAGAAAGCGAACTTGCTCAGTTCCGCCTTTCTACCATTATCAGATGCACGGCCATGTTCATTCTGATTCACAAGCTCCTCTATGCCGACATATTGAAGGTACTACTCTGATTCATCAATGATGCAAATTTGCAACATCGAACCTGGAAGATGAAGTGTATACTATGCCACTTGGAGATGCAAAGAAGCATCAAAGAGCCCAAACATTTCACGTTGGCAGTCTTTGTCAGCGTGTGTAGGTTCTTCAGTTGGCCACGGAAGCGTGGTCAACCGATACTCTGTTGGATCATGGAGACATGACTGGCAAAAAGATGGCAAAAGCGATGCAAGCCTGTTTCTGCTGTTTCGCACTGAAAGCTCCACGAAGGAGAACGCTAAAAACTCGTGAAACTGTGGAGCATGGTAGGCCACAAGCCGCACTGATTTTGGCCCCACCTTTAACCTCCAAACGTGAGCCACACAACTTGAAAACAGTTGGCAGGCAAATGAACACGGCCGCCTGAGAGAGGCAGCACACATGGACTTGGCTTCACTCTTTCCACTTGCGACGCAGGGGTCACTCTCATCGTTTGCGAAAAGGAGGCCTGCACAGAACATCGGCAAAGCTTGAAAGTGTGCAAAATCAGCACACAGCCGCCAGATGCCGCCAGTGCCTACGGGTCACTGTTCTGGCCCTGGGCGTGCGGCAGGTCGGCACCTCGGCCATATACGGTCCACCCAAGCTAGCTTGACAAATCTTGACAAATCTTGAGAAAAAACGTCCTCCGAGTTCAGGGCAGACCACGCCCTGAGCTCCTCAGCCGGCTCCAAAAGCCTGCGCAAATGGTCGCTGAGCCCTTTGCGCTAAAACACAGCTCATGCCGGATGGCGTCCGCCATTGCCTCCGTAGTGGCCGCTTCACGTTCTCTGTAGCAGAGGCCAGTAGAGAGTTGTACCGCACACGCGCTGACTGCACACTGGCACGGGCAAGGATCGTGCATCGAAGAATGCTTGTAGAACACAAGTGGATTTCACATCCGTCTGAGTTGGTCTGCAAAACTGCCGCCTTTTTGGCACAATCGAAAAAGAGCACAGAGTTTGCAACCAAACTAAGCATGGCGATTGCGCTTGGAGACCAACGCGGCCGTCACGATCAGTGGCATGAGCGGCACCTGTGAAGCGCTGCGGAGCTTTTGCGAAGCTTTTTGCGAAGCTTTTTGCGACGCGCTCTGAAGCCATTGATTAGATTGCAAATGATGGCACAAAACATTGCTAGACGACGGTCGCCCTAAAACTCGAACTCCGGGGCGCACCATGAGGAGAGCCAGCATGGCACATGTCACTGGCCGACGCCAACGAAGTCGTCCAGATCTCTCTACCTTGCTATTCCCATTTACGTCATTTACGAGCTAATGCGGATGTACCATTTTGAGTCCTGGATTATTCCGCTGATCTGAGCTTAAATCTTCCATTGCACCGCGAACCGCAGCCATGGCTCGCCTGTCTCGTTATGTTTTGTCGGGAAGAACATGCTCTATGGCGAGACGTCCCCTGCCTGATCTCTGGTCTGCTAGAAAGGTTCCTTACAGGACAGCTGTGAGAAAGCGTAGGGTCTTTCTCGTGGGCACATCCAAGGCGCATGAGCTCCAATTCCTTGAGCTCACGTAGGACGTTCTCCAGATCCCTTCGCATGTGAAAGGGATTTTGGAGGTGAGGAACCTGAATGAACATCCAAACAAAAGTCAAACAAACATGTCAAGACAGGGCACTCCAAAGAGTTCGGGTGCTTCTCCACAGGGGTCTGGCCTGGTGAACTCAAAAACTTGCGCATGAAGGACAAAAACAAATCTGAAGACATCCGAGGACGATGCTGGCCCGGAGAGGCGAAGGCACGCTGCTTGCGAAGCGGCTTGTCGTCACAGACTGCAAGAATAAGCTGACACAGCTTAAGGAGATGTACGTCAAGCGTCCGGATTCAGCTCTCAGCAGGTATGTTAAGGATGTGATCACTGTGTACAATACTGTATGCCGTATACCGAGTAGCTTGCCAAACAAAAACGAACTCCACATAAGGCATAATCAGGACTGAGCGGCAGCGCTTTTGGACGTTTCTTGGAAGCGTATACGATGCCTCGAATCGCTGTCCTCCCTTCGGAACAGCAAGTCATCACTGCTAAGCTCAACACCCACTTCGTCTCGTCACCTTGCCAGTTCGGAGGCTGTGTGTCATCCAACACAATATTGGAGGAGAGTGCTCATCGAATTGAATGACTGCTGGGGCGCCGTATCGTTGATGTCGAAAGTCAAATCATCGACGTAATTCACCTGTTTTCGAACACATCTTGAATCATCTTGAACTTGCTGGATGCAGTGTCTCGTGCATAGTGCACGGCGCACCATCCTCTCGACCAGGCAGCTCACGTCGAGGATCCGGTTGGGCCCACCCTGCGCTCAAATACCCATCATCTAAAAAAAATGTGCGCAATCCGCGCCTCCCACTGCACCAAGGATCCGTCGAAAACCTTTTTACATGTCACCCCTTGCTACGCTGCGCAATCAATTACTAGCAACGTTTAGCAACACGCTCCAGCACGCTCCAGCACAGACAGTAAAGCCTTTATGTATTTGTACTGGACGACCTGCCAGGCTTCGCTGGCCACAATTTGCCACAATGAGTTCATGTGGCCCGACGCGGTTCCGTGACATTTCCAGCCTCTGTCACTTGACTCGGCAACGAAATCTCAGAAGTTCGCCACCTTCATGTTCAATAAACACTACAGCCTTCATTTCTGACACGTACAACAACAAACAAACAAAAGATCTGACGTGTCATAGGGCCGCTTAGGGCGGTGCGCTGGATATGTCCGTTCCGATGTCACCAAAGGTAGAGCTCGAGATGGTTCCCTGCACAAAACGTGCCGAACATATGACGTATGTGATCACTTTGAAAGCCAAGCTTGAGCCCCCGACCACGAGCCAAGCTCAGGCAAAGATCCGACAATGCGGACGTCTTCCAAATTCACTGTTGGGCATTTAACCTGTCGCGGAGCACACAACAACTTCCCAACAACCATACCATGAAAAGCATGAGGCCCAGGCTTCAAACACGACCCACACAGGCATCGCCTGCGTGATCCTCCTCCTGCAATCTGCACACACCCACCGCGACCAAACCCTAATGCAAGTGCCAACGAGTCTTGTCGTCACCTTGTTGGCCATGCGGCACGACTGAAAGGCAAGGCGAAACTGCGAATCTGTATAAAGCGGTGCCAAATACATGGGCTGTGGAAAGCTTTGAGATCTTATGACTTCCTGAATGCATGTTCAAGCATTCCAGTCTTACTCATTCATGTAATTGAAGCGACCATGATGAACAACTGCTGAATCACGCTGAACCTCACATGCCGAAAACAAAAGTTTGGGACAATGTCTGTGTTGTGGCTTGGAAGCATGCGGTAGGGAATCGAAGTGACTAACGAAGGTGCCGCACGATCGCAAGTTGCAGACGCAATATGTGATGTCTACTGTGCAGCCGGCAGCACCAAAACCGCTCAACAGCTGAATAAGCTTCATGGGAAAATCAAGTTCAGGAGGGCTTTTCAAAGATAAACAAGGCGGCAGTCATGCGTGGTATTGCGTAGTACATGGACGTTACACAGCACGGCTTCGCTGCACATTTTGACGCCGCACGGAACTGTACGGAAACGGGCAACCTTCTCCAATCATACTAAAACACTGCCGATCTCTCTCCTTCTCTTGTTGTTCTCTTTCTGTCTTTCTCACTTTCTCTCTTTCTCTCTTTCTCTCTTTCTCTCTTTCTCTCTTTCTCTCTTT